GTTGATTAGATAATTGCATTAATGAGAAATTTAACAGGTGTTCCTAATAATCCTTTAGGTGAGTGTATATCCATTCTGTTTTTACGCTGAAATATAGCCTGATGTTTCCAAGCACCCTGGGATCTGTAAACAAGAAAAACCAATGTGACTCAGATGGCACCCACACACAACGAACAGCCAGCGGATTATATAAATAATATAATAATATTATTATATTATATATTTGGCGATAATTTAATAATGTAATAATATATTATTTAGTATAATTATATAATATAATATTATTTTTATAGTTCACTAGCTGCTGTGTAACTTTTCCTGAATACATCTTCCTTGAACACTAAGAACAATTTCTAAGCAGTTTTTTACAACAGTTTTCAAATAATTTTGACATTATAAAAATACAAAACTATGGCACCCATTTCATGTAATTTTCCTATCGAAATAATGTACAAATAAAATTGTATAGTGTTTCATTATAATGACTGCCTGGCTAAATATTCCTTCCTGTTTACTTACATGTATAGCAAAGCACAAAATATACTGAAATCAGTGTTTGTACCTCGGTGAGGGTCGAGTGATCAAATTCATTATCAATCTTTATTCACAAGCTAAACTGCAAATTCACTATACAGTATTGACAAAACTATATATTGGGACACCTGGCCATTATACTCACAGAAACCTTTATGACATCCCACTATAAATCCATAGGCATTGATTGATTTGTTGGTCCCCCCCTTTGCAGCTATAGCAGTTGCTAGTTGCTACCCTTCTGGGAAGGCTTTCCACAAGATTTTGGAGTGTGTCTGGGGGAATTTTTTTTCCCATTCATCTAGAAGAGCATTTGTGAGATCAGGACATATGAAGGTCTGGCTCACAATCTGTATTCTAGTTCTTTCCAAAGGTGTTCCATGGGATTGAGGTTAGAGCTCTGTACAAGCCAGTCAAATTCTTAACTGAACCATGTCTTTATGGACCTTGCTTTGTGCACTAGGACATGGTCATGCTGGAACAGAAAAGGGCCTTCTCCAAAATGTTCCTACAAAGGTGGAAGCATAGAATTGTTCAAAATGTCTTGGTGTGCTGAAGCATTAAGAGGTCCCTTCATTAGAACTAAGGGGCCTAGCCCAACCCCTGAAAAACAACCCTATTCCATTATCCCTCCTCCACCAAACTTTAGGTAATGTTTTCCTGGCATCTGCCAAACCCAGACTTGATCATCAGACTACCAGACAGAGAACATGTTTCCACTGCTCCAGAGCCCAGTAGTGGTGTGCTTTGCACTACTCCATCTGACGCTTGGCATTGGGCTTTGTGGTGTGAGGCTTACATGCAGCTGCTAAGCCATGGAGGCCCATTCCAACCTGTGCACAGTTTCTGTGCTGAGGTTAATCCCAGAGTAAGTTTGGAACTGTGCAGTTATTGAGTTGTCAGAGTGTTGGAGACACTCTGACAACTCTCAGTGACCTCTCTATTACTTTACAAGGTCTGCCACTTCCTGGCTGTGTCTTTTCTTCCTAAACACCTCCACTTTGCAATAATACCACTTTACCACGGACCATGGAATATCTAGCATTGAAGAAATTTAATAAACTGACAAATCGCAAAGATGGTATCCTATGACAGCATAACGCTTGAATTCACTGAGCTCTTCAGAACAACCCATTCTTTCACAGGTTTGTAAACCTCACTGCATGGTTAGGTGCTTGGTTTTATACATCTGGGGCAATGGGTCTGAATGAAACATCTGAATTCAATGATTAACCCGTTGAACCCTATCCATTTTTTAGCATTTTCTACCCCTTTGATTCTAGACTTATTACATAATATGTACATGAGTTAGCCACAAGTGCTTTATGTTTTTATTTTCAGGACATTCTGGGCTACTCAGATGTGTCACAATTTGATACTTACATGCTGACAGTCTTGATATCAAGAGCAGGCGGAAATTAATATCTTTGATTTTAGCCCATGGTCATATTCCTACTGTTAGCAGCTGTTAACCCCATTCTTAAAAAACCTGCCTTCGAGGTGTGTCCCAGTACTTTTGTCCATATAGTGTACTTCACAAAAACTACCACTAGATTATGCTCCATTCACACCTTGCAGTTTAGGGACAAAGACTGGGAGTTGGGGTAATAACAGTAAAAAAAAAGAGGTCAATATGAGTAAAGTTCTGAAGTTTTTACTTTGCTTCAGTCATATTCTCAGTAATTCTGACACATGGAGATTAAATAATGGGGGAAAGCACATTTTTGTTCAAGCAAAGTTTACAGTTTCAAGACATAAAAAGCGCAACCTTTATTTACAGGTTGCTAGCAAATAAATTATCATGAAACATTATTTTGTAAGCCTTTTTGTCATAAATTTGTTAGTAAATTGTTGCAGATGAAAAGTACCTGACAAACCTTGGGAACAGCCTCCGCACTGAATTATATGACCCCAGCTGTAAATACAATGTTCAGGTCACTAGTGAAGCAAGGTGAGAACACAATGGTTTAATATATAAATATAAAAAAATAAAAAACACCTAACAAATTTTAGTTACCGTCCTGGTGTTCATTCTTCAGAGTGATATATAGTTATACACTTTACACCATTTTATTTAGTCATTTTAGAAGAAGAAGAAGAATGCCTTTATTGTCACTGTACCTTAAACCAGCTAATGATAGATCTCTACTGACATCGGATCAAGTAAAATGTTAACTAGCAATGGCACATGAGGTGCATTGATGCTTCTGTTGTCTGATCACCAGAGGGTAGATATTTCAATCGACAACTCAGGCATTTAAGTGAGATATAAACTGAAATACATGAAAAAGATACGCGATCGACAATGCCCTCGTCCCCAGAGTGTTAATAATAGTGGATTATTTTATTACTGTTAACTCTGCATAGGCACTGCATCATAAGAACATAAGAACATAAGAACTATACAAACGGGAGGAGGCCATTCGGCCCATCGTATTTATATGGTCACAATTTTTCATTTTTTATTCCATCTACCAATAAACTGTGAAAAGGCTTTTATTGTTGCTACTTTTCTAATAAACTGCGAAATCTACCAATAAACTGCGAAAAGGATTTTTTTTTTGCTACTTTTCTTGCGTTTCAAACTACCTTTCCAAAGTGATGGGTGTGGGGTGCTGTGACATTCCAGACTGATGGGCTATTGATAGTATGCAAACTACTACAGGTGTGGGGACACC